AACTAACTGAAAGTTTATAAATTTTTGTCATACTTATTTCTTATAAATTACTTAAAGTGTGTAGTGTATCAATCGATCGATGAATAAAAGTATAGTTCTTTTTCGATATTTCAATGTATTGAAACGTCGAATTTATTTATTACACCCGGGAATCTACCCTATTAGTACTTGGAAACAAAAATCAGTGCATACACCTCATTTGAATGGTTATTCAAAACGAGCTGGTTTTCATTATATACTAACACTAGCTACTCTCACGCGGTTTCACTCGGCTCCATTTGATCGTAGCGTAATGTTTTATAGCCTATAGCACTCAGGAACATTGTAGTTATTATATTTTACCTCTTTATAAAATAAGTATCAGATACATAGTGATCATTTCTCAGCAGCAGAGTTTTGGCCCATCCTATACATATTATATAGGTTGAAACAAAATTGAAACAGAAAAGTATACGGTTCCGGTCTTGAGATGTTTTCGACCTTCTTTGAACGTCTTTTGAGGTAGTTCATTTGCTTAGTGCTTTAGTTAGGGGACCTTCCCTTAGTGCATTGCTCTGCTCTTTCGGGGAATTGGAATATCACTAATAATAATTGAAATATTTTTATTTGATTTCAATAGTTCTTCTTGAAAATGCTACTTCTATCATGTGAATCTATCTATAATTTACAAACTGAAAAGATTTCTTTCTTGGATTTTAGACTACATACCTATTTACGAAATAAATAGTATGCCTATAGTACCACCATCAGTCTATAAGTGCCCAGTGCTGAGCAAAGGCATCTTCATACGAAGCTTATTTAGTTTTTCACATACAATTTGACGTGTAAAAGTGCCGTTTTATGGCCTATTTGCAAAATTAAATTCATTGTTTCATTGAAGAAGGTTAGAGCATTAATCACCACGCTCTTACTCAATGCGGGTTGGCGATTTCAAACTTATAATTAGAAATTATATGTCCAGGTTTACTCACGATGTTTACCTTCACTGTATGTCGGTGATGTCTAAATAATCATAGAAAGTACATTATAACTTGGAAAAAGTCACATTGGTACTAGCCAGGTTTCGAACCCTCATGCATGAGGAGCTCCTTAACCTCCAGGCCACCACGACATTTTATAACCTACACCTGTAGTATGAATAGATTCAATACTACTTCTTCCAACAATGATTTTTTGTGTGATTAGAATTATTTATTTAGTGTTTTTAGTTGTGAAAGTCAGCAAATGACTTTTCTTGCCCTAGATATAAAGGCGCATCAGACTCTTACTGACTTAAAACCATCCTGCTCTAGGCTGAAGCCGCGGTATATTATTGTGCTTGATTCGTAACCCGGCCGGGGTTAAGGATCGAGAAGGATAAGTGCCACCCACTGCTGGGCAAAAACCTCTACATTAATGCTCAAATCTAAATTTTACATTTCAAACATATAATTAAAAATTTAAGTCCACATTTACCGTATGTTTGATGTTTTCCTTCACCGTATGACAATGGTATCTAAATAAATGTAAAAAGTACATATAACTTGGAAAAAGTGGCATTGGTACTTGCCAGGTTTCGAATCCACCCCTTTGCATCCTCATTAATGAAAACCAAGCGCCTTAACTTGCGAGCTACAACGATAATGTCATGACATAATTCTTTATTTAGGTTGAAATCAACAAATCGTTACTTTTCAGGATATTTTATGATGCAGACGAATTTAAATAGAAAAAAGAAAAACCTTAACGTCCGTCGTTATTTTGGAAGCTTAACAGTTGTTCCTGCATCGACTTGCATATTCAAACCATATTACTAACAACTATGATTACAAGTAATTAGACAGAATTATCAGCAAAACTGAATACTAAACTGTGCTTATTCGATTTCAAGTCAGATTACTTATAATCTAGATAATCTCTAGACACGGTTTTTCCGGTTGATTAAATTGAAATTAAACATCAGATTAAGATAGTGAAGGAAACAGAAGTGCTGGCCTCAAATTGCACGACAAACCAAAGGTATAATATAATATAATGTATACACTCTGTACAAAGAAATATCGTTTAGTTATAGCCTAGCAGATAACTGAAAAGGTATTGAAAACGACTAAATACTATCGTGTATCATCTAGACTTTTTGGTCTAAACTATTGCCAGGTAAGTGGTCTAAGGTATTGCCAGCATTTAAAATAAAAGATTATTTAAGTATCTGAAATGACATCTTTAAATGTCATATCAATTTTGTCTATAATCCCTTCCGTACAATTTATTAAAAAACATTTTTAAAGAGCGAATAAAAAAAAAAAATAATTAAATAATTCAACAAAACAGTTGACCATGTTGGTCGTTTTGGATCTCTCAAGCGTAATGAAAATTAGCTACTATAATGATGTTCTGTTACAGTTAACACACAAACACCAAATATTACATTGCCGCCCAAAAAAAACGGAAAGATTCTAAATAAAACAACATTGATTGCAACTTTTTAAAATCTATAAAAATGTGAATTACACATACATAATATATGCAGCTGATGCGAAAACGGTGTAGAACCGAAACCAGCACTTTATGCGATCTTACTTGAATAAAAAACATACGTTATTATTACTCCGTACTATCTAAATAACTTTTTAAATATTCAAGTGTTTTGCCATAAAATCTTTTTTAGTAAAATACCAAATACAAACATTGTTTTAAATATAGAAATATCTATGTAGATTATACACCAAACAGCTCGCTCAAAAGTAAATTTTGCCGAATTTTCATTTTATGAAATAATGAGTCGATGCCATGATTAATATTAAAAATCAGAATTTTACATTTTCATTTTCGAGTTTTGTTTTATTCTTTAGTTTTATTATATTCGTAGCAACGTAGGTACTACACCTACCATTCGTAGCCCGTAGCTACGTGGCTACACATATAACATGGACCTATTACATATATAAATTATATAGTTGGTATTAGTGAAACGTCATTATTTTGGACTTTCAGGATACAGAGCTAGCTGACCTCTTTGAAAAAAAAACACGAGTTCACACAGCAGTCTATTTACGCCTGAATATTTTCCTGACTCATCAACTTTTATTGAGAGTAGTAAATGTATGTAAAATGTAATATTGCTAGGATTTAATAAATCATATACACTTCTGCCAACGTCTTCGCCAGTGTTTTTAGAATATAATGAAGCTTATACAGTGCATTCATCAATTCTACAAAACTTTCGTATTTAAATCTAAATCCCATTTATAGTAATATATAATATATATTTATAACATACGTTCATAGTAATATGTAATATATATTTAAAGTTATAATAGACCATATTATAATATAATCCTATCTCCAATCCTCAAACCTCTTAACCCCAAAAGGAAGCAATTGTTACACGTGCGGAGTTGCAAGAAGTGTCCTAGTGACGCTGAATTTTTCCATCAACTCGCTCGTTGGCCGCCCTAACCCCGAAAAATGTCTTTACTTTTTAATGTGGGAACACACTAAAAAGTGCGAGCTTCGGCACAAATGGGGTGATACCACGGCCTCACAGAAAACCAGCGTGTAGTAATTAGAGTGTTGTCTTTCGCCGCGTGAGTGAGGCTAAATCCTTTTCCGCCCCCATCCTTCCCCAATCCTTAAATATCCAAAACCCTATTCCTCAAAAGGCTGGCAACGCACCAGTAACTCCTTTGGTGTCGCGGTTACTCATGAGCAGCGCTGATTACTTACCATCAGTTATTCCAACAGATTAAGCAGCCCGCTTTTTTGCTTAAGCAGCCCGCTTCTCATGCATTAGGGTGTGCGTTCGAAATTTGGCAAGTACCAATGTGACTTTTACCGAGTTATATGTACTTTCTATGATTATTAAGGCACCACTGACATACTGTGAAGGTAAACATCGTGAGGAAATCTGGACTTATAATTTCTAATTATAAGTTTGAAATCGCCAACCCGCATTGAGCAAGCGTGGTGATTAATGCTCTAACCTTCTCCGTATGAGAAGAGGCTTTTGCTCAGCAGTGGGCATTTAAGTATAGGCTGATGATGATTATGATGAAGATGATGAGTTATGCCAAAAGCACGTTTGCCGACCAATCTTAAAAAGAAATTCACTGTATCATGATAAAAAAAATAGCTTCCCATTCTTTTTACCGTTAAAATGCGATTTCGTGTTCTTGATTTAAACTGGCATAATATGAGAACACTTGACACAACTGTCACAATTGTTATACGTATATTGTATGTTATTCACACAATGGAGCATGAGCGCTATTTTTATATTTGTTTAGCTGCATAGCTTCGTGCAAAGGATAATTGACGTTGTCAACTGGAAAAAAAATAATTTTACTACCTATTATAATTAGAAAATCTGCACTCAAAAATATTATTAGGTATGTTATAATTTTCCATGTGCTTGGTTTTGTAAGGTTTCAAATAGTGATACTGATATGATTAATATTAATTTTGATTCTCTCAAAAGATAAACAGCAGCATTATTGACATTTGAATCTGTTTCTACGTAAAATTCAAAACTTCTTGTTTTCACATTGTTTTGTTTTTGCTTATTAATATGAGGTATCAGTGTCGAACATGGCCACCCATGGCCACACCAGATTAAGCGCGTTGCCAGTATTATGGGGATAAGTGGTTTTGGAGATTCAAAAACTAGAGATGGTTGAGGGCAGGGTAGGATTGGGTCTCCGTTAACCTCACTAAAAAGGCGAAGGACAACGCTGTTGTTGTTACACCCCGGTTTTCTGTGAAGCCGTGGTATCACTTCAGTCAAGTTAGCCCATTCGTAGCTAAACTTGGCACTCCTTCAGTTGAACTGTGTTAAGTTTCAATCTGTATGTAAGAACAAATATTCCTACTACCCGATAATCGGCAATCAACAATCCTCATCAATTTATGGTGGATATCCCACATAAACGCTACGCACGAAGCGGTTCGCCTCCAGTTTCATAACCCAAACCGCTAAGGACTACAATTCTTTGATGGAGTCTGTGTTCTCCGATGGGTGTCACCTGGGTGTCTTCAAGGCCTGAGTTAGAAGGTTGCTTATGGGTAGGTACGCTTCATCGTTGGTCACATCATCGCTTACTACCAGGTGCGATAGCGGCCAAATGCTTGCCTATTTCGAAAAAAGAATATAAATACATATGGTAGACCTAATAAAAAAAAACGTGACGTCATCAATATACATTCTCGGAAAAGTTTAAAAATATACTTCTTTAATAAGTTTCGAATTTGATTAGTAATTAACATCAATGTTATCTAATGCATTGGGTTCAGTATCGGTGCGTACGATCTGTTTATCTAAATCCATATCACATGCTACCCACTACGCTTAAATTAGTTATTTGTCGGTCAGAACAAAGCTTTAAAGTTTGCCGCTAAGAACCTAGCATCTGTTTGCGGTTCCATCTGAATTATGTAGTGAATTAAAAACAGAATTCTATATTTATGTATTTTAACGACTAAATTCACTTGTGACGATTGAGATCAGAATGAATTATGAGTGGTCTCAAGTAATTCTTTATTTAATTTTTGAATAAAGAATTTATTTTTTTAATAAATACATAGCTAAAATAAAAGAAGGCATGCTATAATAAATAAAGTTTTAATAAAAAAATATGTATGCCATGTTTAAGTGATTTGGTATTACTATATTTTGAGAGAACGTAAAAATATTGCAAAAAATACCTTATATTAGGTACAATCATATTTGATATTAAACCCCATTACATAAACAATAAAAAGTTTTATTATTGCCAGGTTAGGATGTCCTTTTTTGATATTTATGGGACATTAACCATTAGCAGATTAAATTAGTTCCTTTGCTTGTATTTCAACTAGCTTGTTATTATAGCTTGCTTGTCTTTTTAATTTGTTGCCCCAACTAGGATTTTCTCTTGTGTACAAATTCATTTATACACAAACCCAGACCCGAAACTACAATATGTGGATCTCACAGTGTTTTTTCATGCGGGAATCGAACCCGTGACACGTTGCACAGCAGCTAGTTGCGTAGCCATTTTACTGTTTATCAAGGGCATGTAATAAAATAAATAGGTATGAATTTATAAATGAGGATTTCACACTTATTTAAATTAATTATTATTAAATTTTTGTTATTAAATTATTAATAATTTAATAACCAGCAGGGCATAATAATATCGCTATACTTACTTAGTTGCTATTTATCGCATAAAAATATGAAATACTAAATCTACATAATTTTCTTCAGTCTATATTCTCAGCTAGTGCCAACATTAGGCAACAGTTGAGAATATAGGATGGTGATTCACTAATTTAGCTTATTATTCAACCAACTTCTTTTCGGCACTCTGATGGTAGACGTACTTTAAAACGGCTTACTTAATTAATTATAGCAGTGAGTTAGGAACGTGTATGGTTCGCGTTTAATCAAGTTCAGTGCTGATAGAGTGAGTGAGCCGTTGACAGAGTAAGAGGTCGGCGTGAGAACCGAGCGATGTAATGCGCCTACACGTCATACCCTTGTAGCCACCATAAACGAAGGCAATATCGCATAAACCACTTACCATGCTATAAACTAATCGAAAGACTAACCTGGGAATCGAGATAAAATATTTATACCATAACTAAACTTTAGCCAATTGTTTACATACATAACTATTGAAAACCATAAATAAAATTAATCTACAATAATATAATCCCTTTAACTCATAAAAGACATTAACAAGGATACATCAAAACCGTTTGTCAATAAAATTAACAATGTATCTACTACTAATATCCGGTTATTTACTCAGGGTCAACGCTACCAACAAAGAACGTTGTTAAAATTTATCTGTAAAAACTTCCGGTACCAACAATCGAATATAAATCCATTCATATGTTTTTTAAAACGCCCATGACAATAGCGCGACGAATCGGAACGCAAACAAATCAACGTCACCTTTAGGCGACGCAAACAGATTTAACTTGGACAAAGCACGTATTGACCCTTTGCATTAGGACGCGAAATCAAAAATTATAGGGCAACCGACCCCCGCTCATAATTCAAGAATGATTCTCGTCCATATTCGACGATCCTCGGACAATGGGTCGGACAACACACAGTTAAACGCCGCAAATGCCGTAAGCGGCTATAAATCATTGACATAGCGGAAGTGCGTAGCCTGCCAGTGGTGAGAGAACCCCAGCAATAACGGTTACGCGGCCGTCTCCGGCATTTTCAGCGTTATAGATAAATTAAATGCCAACACATCCAGCCGGGGCAAGCGCAGCGAAGGCGCGTTAGGAATGTCCAAATAAATTTTTTGATAAACGCACCGGAAGCTGGACCTATTACGTGACACTGTCCCCGTTCCTTCCTTATACTCCTCAGTTATTGTTTTTCTCGGTCGGCATTTGAGGAATTTTAAGCTTTTATTCAAACCAGCATATGGGAAGCGCGGCCCTTTGAATCGATTTAGAGATCGTAATCAATAAACTGTAATAGGTCAGTTTTGTGTCGGAATTAATCAAGCGTCAAAGGTCTACCCATAATTGAGCGCCAAAGGCTGCGGGTGTGTCGTATATCTCACTAATTAATGGATTCGCTAGAAATGTTTTTGTCACAAAAGATACCGCTTAGCCAGACAAAAAATATCTCGGAACGTTTTTATATTCAGATACAGAACAATAACCCTTTTTCGGTTTCTGGAGCATGTGTTGTTTATGTCACAATGCGGAGCGTACGAAGACAGAGGAACTCTCCTCATTAGAATTATTCGCCGCATATTGGCGGTAGGATAGGTGCGTGCGTGTTCGATATAAAGAAATATTAATATTCCCTTAGCCATAAACAAGCGTTTGACGATAATAACTCGAACGCATAAAACAAAGCTTTATCTGTGATCGGAAGGCAGCCCCCAGAGAGTTTAGTGTGAAATGTGTTCTCAAAGACACCGTTTAGTAGCGTAATGCGCGTGACTGTCGTACAAATTATGCATTTTCGAGACAAGCCGATTTTATTGCCGCGGAAGTGACGTCAATAAAGCACAATGTACAGCAGTTTAATGTTCTCGTATAATAATAATTTTTGATCGGCTCCGTTCACGATATGCATCACGCTATGACACGGAACGCGGCACACGTGCCCACCGTTGACAAACATCACCCGCTGGAATACGCAGTACCGGTGGACGTATTTGTCCATTACAAGATTTTGTGCTTAAAATCTTGCCGACTTCATAATATTACCCTCTCGACTTAAAAAACGTACAAACACTTCACTCAGGTACCTACTTCAGTTTTCCTAGAACGATTGAATGAATTAATTCGAACCGTTTAACACTCAAACAAAATGACGAGCTGTACCTTAATTACATATGAATAAAAATGGTGAGGTGAGTACATATTTAAACAGCTCTCCTTAACCAGCACCAGAAAGAACGACGTAACTACTATTGAAATCATTCATTAGGTAAGAACAGTTATTAGAATTTTTTCATGATAATTTACTTGATAAAAATCTTTTATAAGTACCTACTTTTAATAATAAAGTAATTGAAAATTTATTGCGAGGCAGGAAAAAATCAATGATATAAATACGTAAGTAAGCATTTGTCGGGTCATTTATTAATTTGAAGCGCCCTGTTAATTAGAGTGCACATTAAGTCGTTTTAATAAACTAAGAGAGAAGCCCCGCGTTTGTGTAACAAGTATAATTTTCAGTCTTTATTATTTGAAACGGCGACGTAATTCATAGCTGTAAAACTCGTCGAAACATCATAACACCCCAAATATAATGGTGTGTGACGCCCAACCGTTCCGAACGCCCTCGGAGATTTGGTATCGACTCAAAAAATGATATACTCCATACCTTATATTGAACGGGAAATAAATCGTATACTTCCTTTAAGTGCCAATAAAAGTTGGAGTAAATCATAAAAGTATCACTCCTCGAGAAATGTCTATAACAAGTGTGTTATTGCGGAATAATTCAGTAGCGTCGGAGGGTGGTTTGAACGATGGCTCCCTCTAGATCCAGCCGGCGTACTCCGACCTGGAATTCCCGATGCTCTATCAAAGCCTTCAATTATTTATCGGACCCGTGTCTACTTTTCATTTTACTCCTTTCCCGGGCAAGGCTTTCAGTGCCGGAAAATAAACATGTCACACTATTGGGAATACGGTTTACATGAATAGTGGTCTTGTGACTATAAACTGTATCGGTTACGGTCCCACCGCTGACAGTGATGTATGGCGGCCGTTCATATTAATTATTAAATTGCCTGGGACTAACATTCATGTTATTTGTTGAATAAACAATAACAGAATTGATTTTAGATTCGATCCTTTGAGGATTCCTGCGCCCGCTGATTACGCAACGAATAATACTTCTCCCTGTGGCGGAGGCAGAGACAATTCTAACTGAAGCGGAAACAGGATATAGGTAATATGCTGCATTGCCGAAACTTGCCAGTAGGGTAAGGGTGGAAACAATAAATTGTTTCTGGATATTAGGATGACCATCCGCATAATGCATGCTATTAGATGGCAGGTGCATTAGTTATTAACTGTGCGTTTGCAAATAACTTGTTATAGGAATCAAACATAGACAAAAAAATCTAACATCTTTCAGTGATAAAGGAAGAATATATGTGTATAAATATAACAATACTAAGAGAATTAAAAAAAATGGTACTTAATCTGTTATTCAATATTTTTATTAATTCAAACAGAGAATACAGTTCACAAAAACACTTACGTTTCATTTCGATAGTTTTATTTCCAACTGTCAATAACTACTTATAAATCAAAAGTGTAATTTATTGTTACAGTTTGCTATAAAATATTTACACTACACCACACTAACAGTGAAGGAAACATAAAAATTATATTATCTTTTCACGTGTAAGCTCGATCCGTCGTTTAGTACCTAGTAAATAGATTGAATTATGTGGTCATTGTTAAATATATCAAATATCTACATATGAAAACTGCAATAAAACTTTCAACGAAATGCTCAATGTGTGTTTAATGTCTAAACTTATATTTTTTCATGGTTATAGCTGTCTGTCTAGCTGTGGTCAGCCTTCATAATAGACTTAAAGCCAGTGGTTTGTCAACACGGCGATGTTATGATGGAGAATAATGATGTATAATAATGTCATCAAAAATGTTAGGTTTTATCGGAACGAAGCATGAAAAAGTAATATAAACACACTGCTACAGCAAGTAATGTGTAAATACTAATTAAAATATTTACTGCTAAAAATAAATTGCATTGGCCGGTTTTGCGATTTTCTATGTGGTGGTTGGTGGTTTCAGTAGTGGTGAGCTGCTTTGGTCATTTGTATAGAAGCCTTTTCTAAAAAGAAGCGGAAGGTGCTTCATCTCAACAACCCCTAAATTATAATAGAGTTGTAATAAGTACTGTAACATTTTTTGTAGAAAACTTTTAACTACGCTTATTTACTATTTTAAACAATACCAACATCTGCACAGTTAAATAAAAAGCAGTAAATTTAAACGTTTAACAAAAACTGTTTTTATCGCTGTCATCCACTAGCTACATTATCGTGGAATTGCTATCGTCTCGACTCTAAAAAGCTCAATTTTGCTCATATAGGTACGTATGTGTGTTAGTACATACGATCGGTGCGTAGGTGCGGCCAGCACAATACGGTCATCTCGCGAGGTTGCGGCCAGTTATGTGAGGCAAAAAGCGATGATAATGACACAGACCATCGGCGCAAAGGGCGCGGGATGAAGCCCGCCACTGAACGCGCGTGGAATAACAAATGCTTCACACATAGACAGCGCAAACTTGCAGACTGGCCGACCTAAAACATCGTTGGCCACTACTTATTTAAGATGACATTTCAAAGCTTTTGATCGATTCTAATTCTAGACGTCCATCCCTCAGTCTCGATTTCCACATTATGAAATATTTATAGCGTGCCACTTTAAGAAGATTAGCTCACTTTTTTTCCAACGGCCGTGCCGGTCTATGAAAAAAAGAATAGGTATCGCTTGCGGAACTAAAACAAGAATTTCAATGACAAATTCACTGCTGTAGTTAATATAGTTATAGTGTTGGTTGTAGTGTTTTGTTTTTTTGAGTGGGGAAAATCATCAAATAACTCCTCTCGTCCCGTGCGAGATTGACACCCGGTTTCCGAAAGGCCGATCAATGTGAAAATCAATTTAATCTCTTGTCAAGTCATCTGATTGGTTGACTGAATTATCAACAACCAATCAGATGACTTGACAAGAGATTTAACAGGACATTAGTTAATTTTAGCGTTGACAAGCCTTTCAGAAGCCGGGTGTGAGTGTCAGACTCTTACTGATTAAAAACACCCCGTTCCTTCTCCTGCTGTGGCCGCGGTAAATTGTGATTCACTTCGTAAATGATTGGAATAGAATAATGAGTATGAAATGATAATGACGACGATGACAGGCATGTTTTCAAGATAGATTAAGTAATGTTGTAAATACTAAATGTGGCATGTCGATGTGATGTGACTGGTAAGAAATTGCGGTTCATGATAATATTTAATAGAACAATTACTTGAAGTTTAACGTGTCA